CTTTAAAATCCAAATATTTAAGCATTTATAAATTTCCTAGACCTTTAAACAGATGCTAGAAGACTTTCTTAGGGTTAGTATTTTTCTGTAAAGCGACTTGAATAACACTGAAGTAAATGTATAAAAAAACTGCTACTGGAAGATGAGCAGGTGTGTGAAGCTTCAATCCATAAGGCTCAAGGCCATGGAGAAATAACATACACCTACATATTAACACTGGCACAGGCGTGCACATATGTGCTTATATGCAAGCAACCACATAAAAAATCCTTAAAGACATTGGCTTACATCTTTAATGCCACAGAAGGTCTCTTTGCGGCATATTTTGTATCTACACAACTAAAGAAAGTTCTGAATTTGTCTAGCCTGCATGCAAAAAGTCTACTACGAATCGCATTTTAAATGTAAAAATGCTGAGAAAAGTTAAATTGTGAGATATTATATCACACTGTAAGATATTAAGTCAAAAATTGTGGGATATAAATGACTAAAATTATTGCAGTTTATAATGTTAACATTTTGAGATATTCCATCACATCAGGAGATCTAATGTCAAACTTTGATTTAGAACAGAATATTAAGTCACATCAACAGATTTTATGTCAAACTGCGAGATATAAAGTTAGTATTAAAGAAGTTGCAATTCTAAAACATTTTTGCAAACATGTGTAAGTCACAATAATGGGTAGAAAGTAAAAAAAAACTGATAACATACTAAAACAATAGTTATATGTCACAATTTGACAAAATATTTTGATGTTATCTACAATAAATGTAACATCATTAGCTATTAATGTTAAATGCAATCAATTGCTTTAGAATAGTACAACCTTGATTCAGCATTTTCTCGGTGCACATTTTTGTCCTTTCTACGTTTTCAGATGATGTAAATTCTTATGGGATTCACAAGAATATAAAACTAGCTAATAGAATATCAGATTTCACCTGAAAATTGCTAAAAAAAAAAATAAATGAAATGAAGTCATGAATACGAAATCACCACTGAAGTGAGAGTCATTTGAAGAGAAGCAAAACAGGAAAAGAGAAGGAATAAACTTGCAAAATAACAATTTTGCATACTTTTATTCTGTCACATGAAATGAGGACTTGGAATTGTAGTGGAAGTAATAAATGTGAATGTTTGCACTCCTCCTTGGCTGGATCCTCTCTCTTTCTTAGTATGTGTGTGTGTGTGTGTGTGTGTGTGTGTGTGTGTGTGTGTGTGTGTGTGTGTGTGTGTGTGTGTGTGTGCGTTGAGACTCCCGCTGAGCGAGCACAGGCTCACCACACACAAGGAAGCCTTTCTTTCCAGCTCCGCAGTCTGGTGTTGGTGCACCTGTACATGGTCATGTGAGCCAAAGCCTTTAATTAGAGATCGAAATTGCCAGTTCCTTCTGCTCTAAACCATTTCCAATGTCAAACATACAGCCGCCGCGGCCTCAATGCCACACTCTGTCTCTCTCCTTCCTTTCCTTCCTCTCTGTCCTTCTTTATTTTCCTTTTCCACTTTCCCTCTCATGCTACACGACCCATACTTTTGGTCTTCGGTGGCAGCAGTAGCTCTTTATAAAAGTTATATCCAAAACATTTTACATCATGCTTTTCATACTTCATATGTCAACTAGGAACTGACAATGTAACTATGTATCTTAAGGATAATCGTGTCATACTTTGCAAGCTGTTTTTTTTTTTTTTAAGGCAGAATAAAAGCTTTTTTTCCTAATATATAAATAATGTGTTAAAAATAAACTAAAGATAGTAATATTAAAAATATATTAAATACAAATACATTACTATTTTTTGTCATTTTATGATTTTTAATTATGATTTTTATTATTATTATTATTATTATTATTATTATTATTATTATTATTATTATTATTATTATTTTTATTATTATTGTGCACAATTGACTATTTTATCATTTAATAAAAATCCTTTATAATAGAAAATAACTGTAATAATTCCAGAGGTAGCCTACTTGTTGCTTTTCTTCGACTTTATATATATATATATATATATATATATATATATATATATATATATATATATATATATATTGAGGACCTAAAGAATTATGACTGAAGGTCAAGGCTGATAACTCATCAAGTTTGGATGCAAGAACGTCCTTGAAAACTCCTTAAACAATCATTCCATTCTAATGCACACCAGAATAGAAGGATAAAAAGCAGCAACACTTACACACCGTATTACCTTGGAGTGGTAAATAATTTAGTTTAACAGCTCCCACTTTCTCTTAATAACAGTTCATCAATGTTACATTAAGGCAAGGATCTGTTACCAAGCGTGCGGCCTGTGTCACTGATAACAAGGTTGAGGGCTCCTGTTACCCTCTGTGTGTCTGCAAAGCATTTAGGGGAGAGTGTGAACAGAAAAAGAGTGTTTCAGCCAAGAGAGTCCGGGAAGTGAGGAAATTCCAACTGACAAACTGGATATGGAAGACACTGACGCATAGGCCAGAGAGCAAAAACAGCACAAGCCTCTGCACGCTGACGTGTCACTGCATAAAACAGTCGCTTCGAGGATCATTGTGACTCAGGCGAGACTGAAATTGCTGCTCAAACTGGACCAGAAGAGTCAAGAATTCAGCAGAGTCTACATCATGTACAGAAGCGAAATCAAACCGCCGAGTGCAGTTCTGGATGACTGTATGGAAATATGAGGCCTGTTGGTTATACGATTAGTTCACCCAAAATATGAACTCACTAACTCAATCCTTTGTCATTTCAAACTTGCGCTACTTGCTTTCTTCTGAACACAGAAAAGAGTTTTTGTGGTGAATACTTTGTAAGCAGAGAAAACACATGGAAGTTAGGGCTGGGCGATTAATTGAAAAGTAATCAAAATTGACATTAAGAACTTAACATTTTTCCAGGTCAGTTTTTTCAATTACTTTCCCCAGCATGTGTGGAGTCATGTGACCCTGCTCTGTTAAGGCTACTTTATACTTCTGCATCGAAGACACAGGTATGGTCTGGCACAGCTTTCATGCAGTCGCATACCTGCACACCTCTCAAAAATTTAACTACATGTCAAAAGTTTGCACTACATTGATGATGAATGGAAGCTGCGGCAGAGACGGCATAATAAAATTATCATTTAAACTAAAATATTTGTTTACAGAAGCAATGCACTTTTTAAAATATTATTTAAAGGATGTACAAGTCATTTGATTTAGATACTGCTTATTTTCTACTTTTAATATGAAAAATTTAACATTGAAAATAATTTATTTTGTTTCCAAAAGTGCAAGTTATTTATTATCACATTTTTATACGAAAGAATTGACTGTTTCAGGCAATGTGTGTAATAATTTCAATCGTTTAAAGTTGACATTCAAAACATAATCACAAATAGCAGATAGTGTGTGTTTCCTTCAACTATTTTAAAATCAAGTAATGCATCTTTCATTCAAAATTCTCTTACTTGCAGTATGTGAGTATATTTACTGTACAAAACTTGTTCAATAAATAAATCGACAAATCGCTCAGCCCTAATGGGAGTCGAATCATTTAGGCTTAATTGTATGCAAAAAAAATCAATTATATTAAATGTAGCCCTATCCAACTTATTAAGGAAAGAAAATGAGCTGCTGTTTATTACATGTGCAACAACTTCTGCAATACTTTTACACCCTCTTAGGCTGTGAAATTTTCCTTCACAAAAGTTATTTTTATGTTAAAAGAATAAATGAACGAATGAATGAAAGAATAAATTAACTTCCATTTAAGTGAATCATTTTAAACAATGCACTAATATACATGTGTTTTTACTTTGTACTTATATTTAATTAATTTTCTCTTTGTAATTACAGCTGTAATTAATTTATGTTATTACAGTATACCTAATGTACACTGTTGATTGATCCTTTACAGCTAACCCACCCTTAAACCTACCTATACCACTAAACATGTCCCTAACCTGACTCGTATCCCTCCTCTATAGCAGTGGTTTGCAAAGTGGGGGTCGCGGGACAATGACAGGGGGTCGCTTGGTGATTTCAAAAAGTCAAATAAATTTATCAAACTATTAAAATTACTATATTTTAATCATAACCCACATAATATAAAAATAGTAGTTTTAATAGTAAAAAACAACAACATGCAAATGAAAAGCCATCACCCTTTAAATTATTTTTTTCATTGGACTCCAGTGTTTACATTAGATTAACAACACAGCAATAGCGTCAGCTGCAGCAGATTGATTTTATAGCACCAGGTTAAACTTTCTGACACCTTTATGGCAATCAAATACATTAACAATAAATACAGGCACACAACTGAACACTGAGAATGTTCTCTGATTGGTGGTCTACAAAATTAAACCAAGAATAGACATGTGCTATAAAAAACATGTGCCCGCCAGTCTATTTAGCTGAGGTTAATATTAAATTAAACAAATTAATAAATGACTATAAAAATGATATGGTTGTTAAACTGCTGCACTTTTTGTGTTGTCAATATGCTGGTGTTTATATAGGCTTATTGTTGTGTGTGCAACATTTGTATGTTTATAACCACCTCTGAGGAATTTGGGAATCGCGAGTCACTGGCATTGTTATTTTAGGGGTCGCGAGCTGAAAAGTTTGGGAACCCCTGCTCTATAGCACCATATGAGTTGTGCAATATTAACAATAGGTACATTGTAATCTAGTTAATGGAAGCCTTTTTATTAACTAACACTTTACAATCAGGTCCCATTAGTTCATGCTAATTAACGCATTAAGTACTTAAAGTTTTATGTCGGGGTGAACTATCCTTGTAATTAAAAAAATATTTGTCCCATTAAATAAGTGAAGAGTGGCAAGAAAATAAACCAGGCAATCAACACTGAGGTTTCGAAATCTGTGTGATTCAGTTTGCTTCATTTTTTACTTGTTTGTAGGTTGCGCAAGACAGGAATTGCACAAGAAACAACTAACAGCTAAGACACTTCCTGAAGTTGGACTAGAGAACACACACACACACACACACACACACCTGTTGCTGTTGAAGATGCAGTAAATCCACCGGGCTGATCTCCCCATTGGTGTCACCGTTGGACCCACCCTCTCTTCCTCCGCCGTCTGATTGGCTGCTTAGACTGCTGACTCCATTTTGATTGGAGGGTGTTGTTCGAATGGTCTCAGTTGCTGATTCTACCATCATCACGTGGCACCTTGAAGGGAAAAAAAGACATAAATAAATGAAAAATCAGTGCTGAGTGACCATCAGGCATTGTTAAAAATTCTACATCATGCCAAGATCTATGCAGCCAATGCATTCGACCACAAAAGCAAACACACACACACACATACACACACACACACAAACCAATAGCCCAGATTCACAATCAACCCCATCAGAAAGTGTTTAATCGGAGTTAGAAATACAGTGGCACAGCTGCTAACCTTGATAAGAACATAGTAAACAAGCAGTGCACCATACATCCATTTGGATATACCTAAAGAACCACCTGAGCCTCTGAACAGCCAATGATAGCCAAGGACACAAATGCGGAGGAAGGCGCAACGAAGGTCTGTCTGAAGAGATACTTGTGTCAAACCAAAATGGCATTGTGCCGTAAAAGAGTGGCATGCTTTTCCCTTCACCAAAAGTTACAATACAGTGCATCAGCTCTGATCGAAGGACGTTTGTCTTTGACAGAAAGTGTTGATGCATCCACCACATCGACAAAAGCGACCCTTTCAATTAGAAAACGTCTGCTGAAAAGAAACACCAACCTCTTGTGCACCTTATTATAGGCAGCACAAAAACACAAGCAACTTCCAAGAGAAGAGGAATGCATTTAGTGTCTTTAAGAGGTGAAGAGAGTGAAAGGGAAAAAAAGAAATAAGCCTTCAAATGAGTGAACGATTCAGTGAACCGATGACTTATTGACGTGTGCAGTCTTATTAGAAAAACAGCGAGTGCTCCTGAATTAAAGATGCCAGTTTTGCTGTCATTTTTTGTCCTGATAGATTTATTTATTTAAAATGCATTAAACATGTAGTTCTGCATACAACAGCTTAAATGACACCGATTTTATAATGTTTTGAATGTTTAAATAAGTTTTTAATACATTAAAACTAATCATGAAGACTACACAAATGAAAACAGAACAGTGATATTTTATTCATTACTCTGTTCATGTTTTCCAATATTAAAATAATGAAATTGTATAATCTAACAAAACACCACATCACATCACATAAAAAAACATACATGAAACCAACTTTAACACAAACAATACACCTAAGAACTGGGCACATGCAATTTATGACCTTTTTTCTGCATTTTGATTTATTTAACCTTGTCTGCTTGTTTGTCTGCTTATGAGAGCCGTAAGATATTTATTTAAAAACAACAAGCAACAACCTGTAGAACTGCATTGTGATTGTATTGTGGGAAATGTACTATCTACACATGCAGTACGTGCTGTGCAGTAAAGCTCGCCACAACAACAGCTGAAGATAGATAGAGAAGACTACGCGCTTCCACACCCAGATCTACTGTACGACAGGACGCTTTTGTAAACTTGAGGGCTATTATTTCCAACAAATTCACAGTCTGAATCGCTTAAAAGCACCTGGTTGAAGAGTTATATACTTCATGCAAAGCTGTCAACTGAGGTAGTCATGCACAAATCGCATGACAGAAAAGGATGCAGGCATGTCTTGCATTATGAGGGATGCAAACCAAAGATGCGGGTAGTTTTATTGCGTGTGGACCTGTGAAGAACTCTAAACCATGTTTAGTTAATTTACATCAATCCAAAAAAAATAATAATAATAATCACTTGAACAATACAAAACCCCAAATACCTTTTTTCTAATAACAAGGGTTTCTGGTCTATTGTGAAACTACTCTATGCATTTCCAATCCAGAAAAAAAGGGGTTAGAGGCCAGATTATTGGATCAACTCTAGCCCTAAAAACCTAAACAGAGCCATGGAGTAGAGAAATGCTGACACTGTCTTGAGTTGTTTCATTGAGCAATGTAATATAATTGCACTCTATTGCTCTGTATGTCTAAATATGTAAACCAATGGAGAGAGTGACACAATGTCAATCAATCAAAGACTTAAATTGAGAAAGGCAGAAATGACAGCAAGAGGTAGAATCATTCTCAACAAAGTACAAAAACAACCTGAATTGCCTACAGAAACAATGGGAAGTGCAATGTTTGATTTTAAACTGGTAATAGTCTGAGAAACAACATCTAGCAGTGTTGCATCATCACTTGTTTGTCTGTGGAAATGCACCAATGGTTGGCAAAAGGCTTCATTAGGCTGGCCAAGAATGAGCCAAGAACAGACTCCAGTATGATTTGACAGATTTTTGATTCCTCTATGGCAGTGGTTCTCAACTATGGATTCACCTTAAATTTCACTTTCCATGCAGCATTTAACCCCAACCCTGACCAAACCACTTGCTTATATCCTTCTAGTGCCCAATCCCTAAGGCAGTGGTGTCTACACTCTATTTTGGAGGACCACTTGTCCTGCAGAGTTTAGCTCCAACGTGCCTCAACACACATGAATGGGATTCCCTATGGTCTAGTGGACTTGATGGACATTTGCATGTAGCAGCCAAGTCCACATGACCACAAGTGCACATAAAGTGTGTCATTTGGGATTGAGTCTAGTAGACCTTGATTAGCTAGTTCGGGTCTGTTTCTTTAGCAGTTGGAGATAAACTCCACAGTAACGGTGTTTCTTGTAGGACTAGAGTTAAGATTCTTGTTTTAGGGCATATCTGTGAAATCACACTTTCAGAATTGTAATTTTTATGAGTGTAGGATCTCTCAAAACCCACTGCATTTTCATCAAGGCTAAACCGACTTCATCATGTGATGTGAGTAACACAAATTGTCCAAAAGATGCACTGAAAAGCTTTAAGAAATGAGCAGCTGCTGAGCGAGTGCATCACTGCCATATTAACCAGCCCGGGGTGTAAGCAAGCATGAAGCCTTGTCATATCCCGTAATGGGTGTATATTGCCGCTATAATGGAAGGTCGTAAATAAAGCAGCCCAATAAATCTGCACAGGGAACCTTTGATTATGGCTGTGAGACAGAAGTTTGCAGCGTCTTGTAATTGTTTTTGGCAGGCTCATCTAAGCCGCCAATGTTGAGGCTTGCCGCATCTTGTTTAGCCCCTGAAGCCCCTCTAGCTGAACTTTGACCTGTGGAAACAGAGGAAGATGCATTTTTTTCTTCTAAGGGGGGGAGTGAGGGATACAGAAAGGGTGGGCGTTCTTCCTCAGATCCAAAAGATAAAATGTGCATTTGGGGGAGGGCAATGCACAAAAAAGCCTTTTAATTGGGACGGAAGAGAAATGGGACCCAACTTGCCTTTGCTTCAGGGACAAAAACAGAGAGAGAGAAAAAAAAAATCAGCTTGCAACAGATAAAAACTAAAATCCCAGGACCAGCATCTTCGCAACATGGTAACGCAATGCATTGGCTATGCACTGAGGTTTCTCTTTTTTATGTACTAATATCAGCAGATTTTCTTTGGCACTTACAAGAAAGGGTGGAGGGGGTGGTGATTCATTCTCTATCCTGTTTCTGCAAGTACTGAGGCTGCAACAAGGGATCATGGGAACTTCTGTGACTGCCTGTTAAAAGCTGTTTATATTGCTGATGCTAAGAGTTGCTAAGGTAAGATAGCAACACAGGGATAAACACGTCTATGAATTCTGATTTGGCTCCAAAAGTGCATATTAGCAGTAAAAAGTGAAAGCTTTGTAGTTTTTGGTGATTTTTCCCCCTTGTGCGTATTAAAAAGGAAGTAACACAAAAACAAACAAGGTCAGGAAGCAGAGAGATGGCGAAACAAACCGCAGTTTATCTCATTCATGACTAAACCCTGTCCTCCCCAAAGCAAAGATTCTCCTTTCTGTCTTCCCTCAGGCAGCTGCAGTTCTGTTCCTGTGCTCATGGTCGGAGTCGGCGGCTGGCACAGGAACAGAGGATTCTGAGAGAGCAGGGTTGAAAAGACGCCGTCTGAGCCAGGTAGGCCAAGGGGCGGAGGTCTCCTGGGTAAATCTCATACAGGTGGGCCGTCACTTCACACCCTCTCAAAAAGTAGCAGGCCCAGCGGGGACTAAAAGCTTCCAGTACTCCAACAGGGTCAGAGGTGAAAGGTAGACTGTCTTTTCCCAGCTTCTTTTTATTGTTTAGAGAACAGAGTTTACTGAAGATGTCAACACCATAAACCGTAGTCAAAGCATCAGGTGTTCATGGCTAAATCAACTTGACGACTGTTTTTGTTTTTCATGCAACAAAAAAAAAAAAAAAAAAAAAGAGTCCATGTGGGCAAAAAAAAAAGAAAAGTTTAGAACATACAGTTCTGAGTAGGGATGTCCAAATTCGACCACATGATTGGAAATCGGGCTCGATTACGTGGTTTCAGACTAGATCGGAATCGGATATTACCTCCCGATCAGGACTTGAATATATATATATATATATATATATATATATATATATATATATATATATATGTATGCACTTATGCATTTAACCAATAGCATCTCTCCAACAAAGTGATGTCATGCCACACACGTTGCTGTTTCTATGTGAAGTCAAGAAAGAGGTCTAACTCTGTGCCACCATTTAACTATAAATGTGGTAAAAAAATAAGAATATATATACATCTACAGTTAAGCAGTGGCACAGAGTGAGACCTCTTTCTTACTTCATACAGAAACAGCAACGTGTGCGGCATGACATCACTTTGTTGCAGAAATGCTATTGGTTAAATGCGGGCAAAGTAAAACACAGAAGCAACTTGAAGCGGAAAGCCTGAGTATGTCTGCTGTCTGGTGGTATTATAAAGTTGATGATGACAAACTGTGAGATATGTAAACTTGGGATTGCCTGCTGGGTATTTTAAGATGAGGTGCTATTAGTTTTTATATTAGATTGTTTTTATTTTTACTGTTGCACTTAAATGATGAATTTATGTTAATAATTGATTGTTCAAGCTACCTCAGAGAAGTGCTCTGTTTGTTAACAGAGATGTTGTATGTTAAAAAGGTGAATTAAATAAAAAATGAGGAACATCCTGGATCTGTTTTTTCCCCTTTTTTATTGTTTTTTATGTATTACAGAAGTATCGGATGGGTTTCAGTATCGGTAAAGTCAAATGACTTTAATTTGAGGGCAAAAAAA